AACAAGATACTTGTACACTTAACAAAAATTTACAATCGAAAAGTTAAGAAGCATAAGCGGTAAACTATACAGATACTCAATGGAACAAATGGTGAACAGGGGTGGATTTGTTTTATTCTGTAGCAAATGTAGTTGAGGTGTCTGTAGAGGTAGCGAAGAGTAATACTACTAATTTTTTTTCATTAAAAAAATCATCATGACGTTACTGTGTAAAAATAGCTGTTCATAAGAAATACATTTTGACGTCAAAAAATCTCACTTTAAAAAATAAAATTGGCTGGTTCAAGGATTAAAAAAAAATGTGAATTAACAGAATTACGAATTTTGTGCGCAATTTTTTATCAACATTCTGTACAATATTGGTGCATGTTTAATTACTATTAATGCTAATGTACTGATATTTAAATATTAAATTTGAATGATTGTCCGAAACGTATATACAGTATGTCCCCGGATTGAGTTCACAAGAGGAAAAAAAAACCTGTATTTTCTATTTTACAAAAAAATGACTTAGAGGAGAGAAGAATATTTTTGGAACTTTACAATATGTGGAAAACGATTAAGATGACACTTTTTCAAACGGTTTAGTTTCAACCTCTTTTAAATGAATTTGAAGTTAAAGTTGGTACAGTCTTATTAGTGTTCGATTTTTCCCCATTGTCTGATGAAGTACAGGTGCCACACGATATCATTAAAAATATTGTGCTACCACTAGAATGTGACAGTTTCAATGAACATGATGATAATGCTATGATAGAATGAATTTGTGGTTTTAACTCCAGAACACGTCAAAACGTCAGAAGTCTGAACATGATAATACTGCTAATCTTCATATAACCAAAATGTTAGACACCACTAACTATAAAAACGATGACAGCTGTAATACTCGAAAAAACAGAGTTGAGTTTGTTAAAAAACGAATTGTAAGTGAAATACTATAAGTTGTCATAACGTGCCCTTAAGAAAACACACCGATGATTGGTTATAGAAATACATAAAGTCACAGAAGACGAAAACAATATGAAAATACCAAGCATAATGAGCTAAAAACTGGAAAAAAAAAATGTCTAAAGTTATTTCGACAGAATTTCCCTCGCCCTTGAAGTATAGTCTGTCAAATCTCGTTTCTTTAAAAAATGATAAAATTTGATGTTGCAATTTTCGAACGTGATAACTTTTATAAACTAAAAACCACTGGCGTAATTAACATTTCTATAGCGGTCCGCACAAGTGTGAACAATATAAAATAAATTTAAAGCAGATAACCAAAGGGAAAATACTCCACTTGACCACGATTATCAATGGATTCAGAAACAAATTGTGAAAAACATGGGAGATTAGTTACAGTAGATCTTTTTTCGATCCATGTTGATAAGGAGTAATAAATGGTTTAACAGTAGAATAAATTCGTGTGTACAATACTGATTCAAATGTTTTAGCAAAGTTGCGTAACAGACTAATAGGTCTTAATTCTCAACATAGGTCATATCTCCTAAGAATGCCATCAAGGTCCGCCGTAAAAGAATTTTTAGACGATTTTAAAGCTAAAAGAATATCGCTATCTGAAAATGAATCACAAGAAATAAAAAGCTGGGAAGCTAGTTCAACATTCGTTGATGGGCAGATACTGGGATCAGATTCAGAGTAAACACTCTTGAAATCATCAGCGAAAGCATCGACTATCGTATCAGGAGAAGGTAGTTCCGTATTATTGTAACGCAACATACCTACCCGGAATACTGGTACCATTTTTTTTTTACTTTGAATACAAAACCAAAGCTTTTTTGGGTCATCTGTAATCTTGATCTCAATCTCAGCAATATATTTCTTATAAGAATTCTTTATAAGAGATTTAAAATAAGGTCGATGAGATTTGAACAAATTGCAGAAATAGTTCGATTTCTATTTTTTATATAACCCATCATGAATCTTATTTTTAGTTTTTAAAGCAGTTATTATTACTTTATTAAACCAGGGTGGGTATTTATGACGACGGATACAATTATCTTTCATTTTTCGGTACCGCTAAGTCAAATATTTAAAACATAACTCATTGCTGAATAAGGAACAAATTTGATCAACATTAGAGCAAGAATCGAGAATGTTCCAATTACAGGATGTTAGTTTTTCATGTAGCAAGGGAAAATTTACTTTTTTGAAATTGTGTTATTTAATGGCGGTATTAAGAGGAAAGACCTTAGGGGTTTGGTCGCTGAAGTTAGTTTTATTAAAAGGGCTGGATGATGAGCATCAATTCTATCGACACGAGAAAAGTCAGTGGGTCCAACAAGGCAATTAGGATTAGAAAAAAAACTAAATCTGGAATTGTTTGGTGAGCATTTCGTACAGAACTGAGTTGAGAAAAATTATTAAATGCTTGAAAATTGGTAAGGATGATATTTTGATGATCGGAGTTATTAGCGTTAACGGTAAATTCTGCAGCATTAAAATCCCCAAAGAGTAGGATCGTATCATTTTTCATAAATTGATAGGTATTGATTATGTCAAAAAATAACTCAAAGTCATGCATAGAGAAGGTGAGGTTACATAAACTGCAAGAATGAAAATACTTTGACCTTTGTGAATAATTTTCACACCTACAATATTATTAATGTTTAGAACAATATTGTTAACATTTGAAAGAGTCAAACCAATAGAATGAATTGTGCCACGAACACTAATTCGAACTCCTCCACCGGGGGAAACATATAAAATTTGAAAGTCTCTGTCCTGCCTATAAACTACAAAGTCATTAGGAAAAAGTTCACTATCCGTTACATCGATATTACTGTTTAGCCATGTTTCAGTAACTGCTACAACTTCAATATTCGTATTTAAACAGATGCTATTATAGAAATCCTTAACCTTAGTACGCAATCAATCCTCGCACATTTTGATAAAAACAACAAAGAGGAGATTTATTGTTTTGATAATGTGGCTTAATAATGTTTGAATATAAAGGATTCATTAATACAGAATGGGAATGTAAACTTATTAATTAATTAACCACACTGAGTTTTTTTCCCAAAAACACATAGGTAAATTTGAAGAACCTTTATTCAGCAAATTTGTAAGAAGCCGGACCAATTTTGATTAACGATTTACTATGCTTCAATTAACCTTACAATATTTGCAAGATTTTACAGCATTCGGTTTATGGAATTTCAAGGTTAAATTGTAAAATACAGTTTTGAATTTATTTTCCAAAAATCTGGATGTCTAGGGTAAAAACTCAAAACGGATTCTTAATTTTATAAAATTTAAGGAACATTTATTCGGTAAAATTATAAAATGACGTCATCATTTTTTAGCGGGGCACAAACGAAAAAAATTTGATTAAAGATCTTACGATAACTTTAAAATGCTTGCAAGTTTTCAAAGGAAGTAAAAAGCGAAAAAAGGAAACAGTGCGGAAGGTGTGATCGATAATAAAGAAAGAAAAGAAATTGATGCAGCAAAAAAGTCAATATAATAAAAAACGAAAAATTGAATGATATTGTGATGGCAGTTAAAGTAGAATCATTCACTGTTAAAATACGACGAATCCTTGAATCTCGCTAAAGTTCTGGAGTATCGAGTTGGTGAATACTACTGTTACTCCACGAAGAACAGTGAAACAGATTTTTGGAATTTACCGGATGAGCATGATCTCTTATGGTAAATACCTATTCGATTGGTTACATTGTAATAAAGATTGATGAGCCTAAATCTGGAAACCGCAGAGGTGTATTTATAGTTCCCGAAATTAACGACCTGAATTAATATTTTTTATATGTATTAATACAATTTATTTTTATTTGTTTTCTTTTTCTTCTTATTTTTGTTGTTTTTTATATTTAAGTATATCAAACATTATTTTATAACTGTTTTTATAAACTTGACAGAACTGATGCATACAATGAGAACAACTGGTACAAAAGTGGTCATAATAACTGGTCAAGTATGATATGTACGTATTTTTACTATATATTTTAATAATTATTTTCGCTTCCTCTTATTACTTCTTTTCCCATTAGACAAAATTCATTAAAAAAATCTTCATTACGAACACTAGTGATCGCAATAATGGGAAAACCCTTAGTTTTTCGTATGATTTTTTCAAAGTTTCCAAACAGGTACCTAAAAGTAGCCACAAGCGGTGCGTCTACCTTACGATTAATTAATATAAAATGCAGAAGAAAAACGAATAAAAGATTAGAAGCAACACGACAAACTTGTATGTTTCATCTGTTCCGTTACTCTATAATTTTTCTTTGCATTAGGTATGTGTTATCATTATCAGTTATCACGTTATCAGTTTGTCAACTTTATTCGTAAATATGAAGATTTACCTACCACATATTCTTTAAATTACCCAAATTGCGGAATGGTTTTTATTTTTCGGTTAATTTTATCCGCAATGACGATATTATGTTTTAACAAGTAACTGTTTTTGTTTTAACGGAAATCTATCACCTGCGCTCATAAATGTGTCATTATTTACTGGCGTCTACTGTGACGGAGTTAGTTTACTATATCCACTGGATTTTTATACTACAGTAAAAAGTAAAAAGCCTTATCAGGTTGTGGGCAGTACAGTATAAAAATGCATAATCTACAGGCTTAATTTATAGTTGCTACCTCAGTGCTCAAAACCATCTCACACCTCAGCAAAACATTCAGCTGTTGTTCTTTGGTCACTGGTCAATTAGTAATCGCCAGTAAATTAACCTTCACTAATATACGAGGAACGATCAATATTTACGATCCCTAACATAGTAGGCTTTGAGTGACGTTGACGTAATTTGACATTTAAAAAGGTTGATCTTCTGTCATTAAGCTGGTGTAGTTTCAGTTTTCGTTGTTTCATTTTCAATATTATTTGAAAGCTTGAAAGTTTTGGTCAATAAAGCCACATTTAGCAAAAAAAATTAATCCTGACTCCAAGTTTAAAAAGTAGGTTGTTGTGTCATGCACGTAGAACTGTCCAAGGATTTAATTTTATGGAATAAAAATACTAGTTTATAAATAAACAAAACAAATGTATTTAATAAAACAATTAACATCAAGATGTTGGCAGCATAAAAATATTACTTGTTTTTTCGTTCTTCGAACCATTTTCTAATTTCTGCAGCCAACTCCGTATTAGGTACAACCTGATCCATAGACAACGGCGCACGATTAAAAGGGTCAGTTTGGTCACTTAGAAGATGTCTAAAAATGGCATTGAATATTTTATAAAATTGTGGAAAATAGAAAAGAAATCCTACCTTGCGATAGTGGTACGGTCAACAGTTTGCTTTGAACTAGGTAAAATCACCGGATCGGTCATCAAAGTCGACATTATCGGATCCATGAAATGTTCGGGCGCTCCAGCAATTACTTCTTCGCTGGCTTGCTGCTCCTGTGCTTTTTCAGCTACACGCAATGCGACCTCTTTTAATTCCCCTATTAATGCACCTCCACCAATACGAACTAGGACATCCTCCCCAAAAGTGAACAACTGGGGACTGTAAGACCGCCCATCTTGTGAAATGGCTAAACAAAAAGCATCACTCTCTTTAAGGTTAACATATATTTTGGAAATGTTTAAAACGGTTGTGGCTGGATCAAAACTGTATTCTTTTTGGTCTTTAACCTAAAAAGGAAATAATATGCAACTGTATTATTGAAAATTCACCGATTTTACCTTAAAATTCTTCTTTTTCGGTCCAACTAGATTATATAGAAAATAATTGAGCATAGCAGCAACCCTATCTACCATTGTCGAATGTGTAAATACGATTGTTATTTCCGATGTTAGTTTTTCCAAAGTTTTTATAGTGTCTCTACCTAGAATGTTATCAAATTTTGCAATCATACCAATATGATGCATGTAACCTAAATTTTGGGTTCTTTCTTGCGCTGGCAGTGAGTCCCATTCACCATTTTGTCTAAAATATCAACAATATAGATGTAGTATGATGCTTTACTTAGCATTAAATATTCACTTAGCGGTTTGCATTTCTTTCAATTTAGCCATATTCGCTAGCGCTTCATCTAGTAAGTAAACAGCATCATTCATTAGAAGATTAACGAATCTTAAAAAAAGTGGTGGGGTTACAGCTTCCATATTCTGTTCAGCTTCTTTTGCCAAATCTCTGTGAATATTAAGAGACATCAAGAATAAATTTTCAATAAAACACAATAATTACTTAAAGTGTGTTTTATACTCTTCTTTCGTCCACAAATAATCCATTACTGTATACATTGGTCGTCTGTAGTTAAATTTTTGTTCAAATTCTACACTTTGACCGGTCATTTCGATGCCAACGAAGACTTCTAGTAAATTATTGACGATCTAAAGCACACAATACATGCATCAAAAACAATTAGTTCCATCAAATTACATTAGGTACCTCACGGCGATGTGCATGTTGCGTAAATAACATTTCTCTTTGATAGCTTCCAAAGGCATTAAAACCGGAAGGTTCATCATTGTGATGCGGCAACAGCGATTCTAATGCCTCAGCAAGACGTGCTCTCACGTGTGGATTTTTCATGCGTTCTGGTGAGCCCATATAAATTAAAATAAAGGATAAAATTGGCTTTAACTTTTCAAATCCTTGTTCCTCGAATATTTTCGGGTTAAAACGTCGCAAAAATACCAAATAGCACACAATGTTTTCTATAATGAATTCTGGAATGCTTCTGCAATTGTATTATTGATTACTGCTATCTTTAGTTTCGTTATGAACTTACTTTAATGTGTTCGGAATTTCATCTGGTAACGGAAAAGTTATTGGAATTTCGTCTATAGGTGCAAAGCACGTGTGTCCATTGTTAGACTTTACATTAATTGCTATCTGACACAGCCAATACGTGGAGGTCGATGTAAATTCAAACAATAAGTTTAGTAGAACGGGATCTGACAATTGCGCTTTTAAAGATAAATATCTAAAATACGTATGTAAAGAGGTAACGAAATAAAATTAAACTGCAATTACTTTGTCAGTTGTTGGGTCATTCTTCTTTTCAAATTGTCAACTAATTCATTGTTTCCTGTTGCTTGGGCTACAGCATCCAAATAAGCCCTTTCCATTCGCCCTACTTCCTATACAAAATTTTGTATTACTAGCAAACTTATTTTCTACTTGAGATTTGAATATCGTATAAATAACTATAGTTTTTAATGTTCGTCAACATTCTGAATAATATTGGATACACAAAAACAATTTAGTGTAACAAACAGTTAAACTGTAACAGCTGTGAAAGCGGTCTACAGACTCATCATATTTTACACATTTAATTATGATTTATTCAGCAAAATTTTGAGGTAACGTTATCAATCTTTTAGGGGGGATGAGCAAATACATTTTGATAATACATTTACCATGTTTATGATAACTTTAAAACATCTCCAAGATTTTAAAGCATTCAGTATTGCAGGTCCTGATTAGATCAATAAAATGTATTCACGCATTCTTTAATTTTTTTTTGAGTTACCCTGTATATGGAAATAAAAAAAATATGACTGGAATGATAAATCACAAGTACAAATTAATCATACTTTGTCCATATATAGGCAAAATTTTGAGCTGACGTCATCAATTTTTTGGAGGGAATAAGTAAATATATTTTGATTCAAAATTTATCATGCTAATAATAACTGTAAACCATCTGCAAGATTTCAAAGCTTTCGGTTTTGCACATTCAAAATTAAGTTGCAAAATGTTTTTATAATTTTGATTTTTTTTACAAAAATCTGGACGTTTCGGGTAAAAACTCAACACGGAGTCATGAAATGTGTGGGGCTATGTTATTTTATACAATTTAAAACCCTTTACTATGTACAATTTTGAAGTGACGTCATCATATTATTGGTGGGGATAGTTAGACAAATTTTGGTTAGTGTTTTACCATCTACATAATTCCTAATATAAAACAAAATTTGACAACAATCGGCCCTGTACTTTCGAAGATTATCTGTCTAATAAAAATCCGGGACGGCAGCCAAACAGACGGAAACGGGGACCTATTTCTTCGTACTGTAGGCGTCATGAAAGGTCGAGAAAACGTTAAAGTCGAGAGTCGGCCGACGGACTCGATTACAATACTTTCTTCGCTTACGTTCGGGAAGTAAAAAAGGAAAAAGGGGTCCGCATCGAACCCACGACCGCAGATCGCCTTTCCCCGAGAAAGCAACTGCGCGACGATGACTTATATCCCGTGTTAATAAATATAATGTTATTATACCTTGCAAAACCGGATTCGTACCATCATTTCAAAATAAAATTCATTGCGATTACGTCATTAAATTGTTGGTGGGGACAATTGGCCAATTTTTGATTAGCGTTTACCCTTCTACATGGTGTTTCTAATATACATACAAAATTTGACAACAATTGGTTAAGCAGTTCCAGAGATTACGTGTCTAATAAAAATGGATACAGACACCAGACAGACGGACGGAAACGGGAGATTTCTGTTTTAGAACTCTTAAGGGTCATAAAACGTCGAGAAAATATGAAAGTAGCAATTCGTCAGGTGGACTCGATTACTATATTTCGTTAGCTTACGGTCGGAAAATTAAAAAAAAACATATTTAATTAAAAAATATATGAAAGATGTTAAAGGGGACTGCGTTAGCTGAAAAATTTCAGGTGTACGTTTTCTGAAGAGTTTGAATCAACTTAATTCGTGTACATATTTTTGTTGGGTAAATTACAAGAATAAAATTTGCTTCCACGAATTATAAAGGTAAAACCAATAAAACTTACATGGTTTAGGCGCACCAACTTGTCAACTGTAACTTGATATCCTAGATCAACTGCTTTATGAGCAAAATAAAAACATTCAGTTACAAAGTTGTACTTGTCAGCTACCAACAATTGTGTTTCATCTTCAGAATCATTTGGAATTAAACAAGTTTCTTTATTCATTCCAGGTAAATGTACTCCCTTATTTGAACACTGGTCATCCTAAAGATTATACATATATAGATACACAAGAATCTAAATATAAATTAAAACAATTACTTGTACTGAGCAGTAAGTTGGATCCACCTTTAATATTTTCTTATCCAAGAAGTTTGAACAAAATGGACGACACAACCTTAACATTACATTTCCAAAATTAATCATAAAACCATCAGAAACGCTTGTGTAATTTGCTGGATTCAACTCTGGGGGAGACTGGGCATTCCACAATTTTCCTCTATCGACATTGGCTTTTAAGCAAAGACCTAACCATTCTAAAGTTTTGTTTTTAATTTGTGGGCTACATGTCAACAAACTTAGCACAAACGCATGGGTGCGATCTGTTAACTTATCAATGTTTGTCCACAATATACCTTCAGTGGATGTAATACTGGCCTGAAATATTCATAATTAAACCAAAAATCACTCCCTGTTGCATTAAAATTACTTGATCAGTAGGATCCTGAAAATGTTCATAAATGGCATTTGGTGTTTTTGGCAAAATGGAAATATTAAAAATTGCACCCAGAGGCGTGTTTGCATAATCAGAACCAATTGTAAACTTCGGAGGTTTAACATCCAGGAATATACTTGCTAAATATTCTTCAGTTGTAAATACACTTAAAACGTTAAAGACACCATAATCAAACGTTACAATATTGGACTTTTCAATTTCAGAAGTTAACACTAATATAATTTGTGACAATCTGTCCTTAAGGAATGCTTCACCTAAAACACTGTCACTGTTAACATATTCACAAAATGGTATTGTACTATGTACCTCCTTCATCTAAAACACCTTTACATACATCTTTAAAAAATGCTACACAATGTCCATCATTGTCTTTAAGAATATCAATTATTTGTTGTTCCAATTGTTGTCCTTCATAAATTTCTGACTGTATTATAGCTGTGACGGCATTTTGCACTACGAGAGCTTTAACTTTTCCTTTTTCTCCAGTCTCGAGGTGACTATCTTCGTTTATGTTTCTATAACAGTTGCATAAATACGTAATTACTTTAACTTCATACGAATGCGAATTTCTAAATGTTTTTTTGGCGGACTTGATTATTGGATTCTCCCCATTACACATGAATAAGCGTTCAAATAAAGCATGTTGGAGTACTGGCACATCCAAATCGTGTTGGTCATGTACTTTTGACACCTCTTCTAAGTAAAGAAAATGTTTTTTCGCACCAACATTTGGATCCAAAGTAAATGCGAAAATTTCTTCTAGAATACCGCTAATAGAGGGACTTTCACTAGACTTCACAACATTATTTTGAATTAAAGCTGCAAACGGGTTGTCGTCTGACATTTTGCCTTAAAACGTGGCCACTATTAAATAGGTATAAGGTTCTAATTCTACTTTAATCGCATTTTCACGTTTCTCCGAAATTTGATTGAATTTTGCACATCACCACATACCACTTGCTTTGACAACTGCTTGACAAGTGACAATTTTGTTTTGACAGACCCTGCAAAAATGCAACGAATTGACGGACGTGTATTATCAGTTGCATAACGATAAAAACTGACATAAGTAATCATACCCATGCTGGTTAACATTCGGTGAAAATTTAGAAGTTGCGATTAATAAAGTAAGTAAGGGAACTAAGGTATACAGAAAAGAAATAACAAAAATTATATACAGGTTATTTACAAGAAGCTCCTCGTCATAAAGACCCAAACGCAACCAATAATACAATTACATCGCAGTCATTTACAGTTTTCCCACAGTTCACACAATAATTATAACAGTTTAGTTTTAACTTCACCGGACACAACCAATACCTAGTGTATCTCAAAACGTGTTTTTCAATAATTATTTCATAATTTTAAAATGAGTTCAACAACCGTTTGATGCAAACAAATATGTACATTAATTATGATGTTTACAATATAACATTATTATTTGCGATTTCAGAAAAACACTTGCTGAGATAAGAGCTAAAATAAAATAAGTCTATATATGATGAAAATAAATACAACTCTATGAAAGCATGATATTCTGCACATTTCAACTAACTTAGACAATAAAATTTTGACTACTTTAACTGTTTAGTAAAAGATAGTATAACAGTTTGTATAGGTCCAGTGTAATAATCATTCAACAACGCTGCATTCTCAGAATTTGATGAAAATAAGATAACCCGTTTTTGATTTAATCAATAAAATAAACTACTTATTCACTAATTTTTGTTGAAAAATTCTAAAAAACTAATTCAGAAAAATATGGCTGCACAAAAAAACCGCAAGTACATACATATTTTGGACATTTTATATAGAATTTATCTAGTAAAATTATGAAATGACGTCAGTCTTTGGAAGGGAATAATGAGACAAACTTTGGTTGGCGTTTTACCAAATGCGGTATTCCTACATTACACGTAAATATCATACAAAATACCTACAATCCTTGCCTACATCACAATCAGACGGACTCTGAAGACCTATTTTTTCATGCTCTAGACGTTATGAAACTTCGAGAAAATATGAAATATGGTTCAGTTGAAATGAAAACAAGAGCGTACAGATTGTAAAATATCTCATCAATTCATACGCATAAGTGGTACTTTTATAACACATTTTATCTGGGGTGATCATTTAGTGTGAAAAGAATCCAAGTCTGTCATGGTATATTCCCTGGTATTATGACTTTTTAATTCTTCAGCTAAATAGTACATAATCAATATTTTCCGTCAAGTGTAAAGATAACAAATTTTTTTCAAATTCTCCGTTTGTAAGATTCTGCAATAATTATTTGATAAATAAATTTTCGCCATAGTTTTTCATTTAACTTACAATTTTCACACATACAACAAATGGGGGACTTGCATCCTTGAAATGTACTATGTCAACAGGAGTTCCACTTTCTCTTGTGTGAGGATCAAATGGAATGTACGCTTTACCCACTTTTTTAACATCCACATCACACATTGCTATGACTTTTTTTTGATGTTGTACTGATAGTGAATGGTAGAATCTTCGACCTTGCTTGCCAGCATTCCATATAGTGAATTTTTCCCAATTGCTTAAAACATTTAGCTCCAACCTTTGCAGTCTTAGTTTCCAAATTGTAGATCTAATGCAACCCAAAAAATGTAACATCAATCATACAACAGTTATCAAACTTACTCCTGTACTGAGAACGTTGCGGCGTTTAAATGATAAGTATAAGTTAACAAACACTGATCTACTCTAAATACTTTTCCACCTAAATCCAAGTGTTTATAAAAAAATATCAAATCTTCTGGGGTACCTTTTCCTCCTTCAGAAAAACCACCAACACTGTTAATGAATAAAACTTTTTAAATTATAATACATTAACTTTTGAAGAACTTGTTTTACTTGTTAAAAACTTTCCGATGACAGAACCAAGTTGGCATAATTACAGTGGGACCATGAGAAGTGTATATTTGTATGTGAAGTTTTTCTTTTGGCAAAGAATTAGCCCACTCTGTATATCTGTTTGTTGAGTTTTCTGGTATTCGTTTAAACTGGCAACCAATAATCTAAAAAAGAAAATAACAAAACTGTAGTTCAAGTCTTAGTTAATGCGCAAATTGTAACTTTAGTTTACAATTTTACAAAACCAAAACAAATTTACTGTATCTTGTGGTAATATTTTTGCTTTCTCATATTGTTCTGAAATTCTGTTAGGCATCATAATATCATCCTGAAATTTTATGATACGAATAGTTGTATACATTGGAAACAATATATTTACTCACCACATCTTGAAAACATAAGTAGGTACCTTCACTAATGCTAATGGCTTTATTTTTTGCATAGCCAACTAAAACTGTAGATTTTAAAACCCTTCTAGTATCCTGAACTGATTGTCTTACCACCATACGGTGTCCCACTTTCATTATCAATTACTTTTAATTTAATACTACTTTGTTGAAAGACAGTATGCCAATAGTTCAGCAGTTGTTTTGTATCGTCCTGTGAAGCATCATTACATACACATACTTCTAAATTAACGTCTGGTGTTATTTGTTGCTGTAGGATTGAATTAAAGCACTGATTTATCCAGGGGGATCCATTATAAATTGGTATGATCACACTCTGTGAAAAAAATAAATATTACGCATTGTGAACAAGTTTTTAATTTATATTGTGCTTACTATTAATGTCTGTGAACTCATTGTAACATAATAATATACCTGTGTTCAACGTGTTTAACCCCTCCAACACTAACCTACAAATTTATTGCAGACAGCCTGGCACTTCAGTTAGGTTATATCATTAATCTTTCTTGTTATCTTCTTTATTCTGGTTATATGGTACTGATATGTTTTTGGGTGGTGTATGGGTGTAAGCATGATCACGTATGACACGCAAATAGGTTGATGGGTATTATGCGTAGCACGAAAATGTACTGTATGCGTCACGCTACCTACTTTGGATTATATTTATAAGTTACGCACGAAAATTTTAAATAATTAATAAATTGTTTAAACTCCGAATCAACGCACAATAGTCATAATAAGTAAATACGCTGATACGTTAATCCGTTAATATTACGTTATGAATCTGAATTAACATTTGTAAAAATATGATAAAAACTTTTATTCATTTTATGCACAACTGATGTATGAGGTAAAAAAGATACATTACTTCCGTCAAGTAATAAAATACAAAATAAAACATATTTTACACATTTTTAAGTTTGTGCGTTGTTGAATTTAGCCAGCGCCTTTTTTATCTCTAACCCAATTGCCTTTCCTAAAGGTGGTGGAACCGCATTGCCAACCTGTCTGTGCTTGTCCATAATGCTACCATAAAATTTAAAATGATCAGGAAAACCTTGCGATCGAGCACACTCTCGTACACTGACGACACGGTTCTGTTCGGGATGAAGCACTAAAATATTTGCCAAAATAAATCACTAGTCTCTTCAAAAGTAAAAGATTATACCTCTCCCTTGCTTTCCCATGGGTTCAGGATTTGTGATTGTTGTGCCAAAAAATCCATCCCACTCCAAACGTCCATAGAGTCCAGACCAGTGGTTATGCCTATCAGCAGTGTGTGGAAGACACCACGGAATTAGGGTATTCACTTGGCGGTCCGATGGTTCACAAGGCGTACCAATGCTGCATTGGCATACTCCACGATTAGGTTCACCGTCTTTTTGTTTCTTAGTACTGTGTGATACAAGTTAGTAGTATGTAACAATGTGAAATTCATTACTGTAGCTTACAAGTACGGATATCTCAATATGTTTGTCATTGTTCCGTCATTTAATTTAACTGAGATATTTGGCAGATCTCTCCAGTCTGAACCAGGTACTTCAGGAATATAAGTTATTCTGGCTTCTACAATTGGAGCCATTTCTTTACAGATGTGATCAACCAGTACTTTACTGGAAGCGTGGCCTCTCATTTTTCTCTGGAAGTGTGAAATTGGATCTTCTTCGTAAGGTATTTCTGGTTTGTTCCATCCATTTTTAATATCGGGTAGATCAGAAATCGCATCTCTAACGCATATGGTACGATAAGGCGCCGATTCGTTCCATATGTTTCCTGTGGACACGGTAAAACCCACGTAGTTAATTTTGTACTTTCAATATTCCAATATTTACTTAAACAAAAGCACTTTGAACAAGTGGAATATAGGAAAAAAATATGAAATTCCTGCGAAACCAAACATTTGTGTGCAATTATATTGTATGACGGATTAAATGGATAAATCTCAATTTTTCTATTAGATTATTTCCGAAACTACTCAACCAATTGTTGTTAAATTGTAGGAATATCGCATAGAAGATAAAACGCTAACTAAAATTTATCTCATCATCTCCACCAACAATTTGATGACGTTATCTCAAAATTTTCATAATAAATACGTACTATTTAAATTTTATAAAATAACACTCCTGTACTTGTGGTTTATGAATCCGCCTTAATTTTAATTACAATTACGTTACAAAAAAGTTTGTGAAATAATTCTCAGGTATTTCACTTAGCTGATATCTTGCTTACGTAGACAATAAAGATATAGTAGCCCAGTGGCTAAAATTTTAGATTTGAACCGCGTAGATTCGAATTCCATCTTCGTCGACATTCTTTTTTATTTGATCTTGAAGCTTGGACGGTATGTTACATTCATAACCATTTTACCCATATCCATCCAAGTTTAAAGCGCCGACAGGGTTTTCTTTCGTACCGGTACAAAAAAGCATGAATTTCGCCAATGTTATTGTCATTAAAACTGAATGCTGAAAAGATTACTGCAGCCGTTCAGCAACCTAAAAATGCTATAGCGACGCGAAATTTGATTAATAAAAAAACGAGAATTTAGTTCTACCGTTAGAAATTTTTTATTTTCTGTTGTCAAAAAAAAAACACGAGGTTCTTCAACGTCGATGATCGTCCCAGGTTATTAACACTGTTTGTATTCGGTCAGAAAATATTTGTAGTCCTGCATTCTAAAAATTGTATAGCGAAGTAACTTTTGATTCATTAAAAAAAAAAAAGAGCGTAAGTAGTAAGTTTTTATGAAAAAAAAAGGACAACGACACGCGGTATTCCCAAGCGGTCACCCATCCAAGTACTAACCGCGCCCGACGTTGCTTAACTTCGGTGATCGGACGAGAACCGGTGTTTTCAACGTGGTGTGGCCGTTGCTATCAAATTATGTTGTATTCTGACAGTTAAACAACTTTGCCATTACATGTATGGAATAGTATATATTACATACCGAGGCGGAAAGTATTCCATTCCTGTCGAGAGAATTATAGTTTACCGAGAGGCGCAGCCTCGAGGTGAACTAGTTCTCGAAACACGGGAATTGTACTTTTGCCGAGGTTTCTATACTCTTTTATTCACAATCGTTTTAAGTAGATTTATCCCTCAAATTGCTAATAAAATTCAACTTTTAACACTGACAAACGTAAAACTAAGGGTAATGCCCGGTGATAATAATGTGAAATAAAATGAGGGCACCAATCAAAAAGTGGCAAAGTCTTGACCACAAGGTCTCCTTACATTTACAATCGCTGATTTCCATCTACCATTAACTGCACATGCGTAACGTTTTAGGGTCAAAAGTGACATTCCTTCCATCAGTTCCATCTCTTGGGTGGAAAGTGACAGATAAGTGACATATGTCACTTTCCACCCTTGAGATTGAAGTGAAATATGTAATAACTCACTTCCAAACTTTTAAAAAGTTTGAAAGTTTCACATTACTGACCGATTGTGAATAAAAGTATAATACTACGCAATCAAATTTGGAGCACTTATTTCTTTCTTTTTTAACTTTCATCGTTGAACTTTTAACGATTTTAATTATTAAAACGAAACACATTGAAAGAACCCACAGGAGGTTGCTCCATATAGGTACAGAAAAGCATGAATGTCTCGAAAATTGTTGTTAAAACCGTTTGTAATCGGTCAGAAAAGATTACCACGTGTAGGTGTTCATCAGTCTAAAACTTTTAAAGCGAAGCGACTTTTGATTTATTATAAAAGAGCATACGTTTACTCGTAGTTGTATCGCTCGGCTGATTTCTTAAAAATTTTATGTTGAAAACAAAAATGAAAAAAAAAAAAAAATAACGACACGCGGTATCCCAAGCGGTCACCCATCCAAGTACTAACCGCGCCCGACGTTGCTTAACTTCGGTGATCGGACGAGAACCGGTATTTTGAACGTGGTGTGGCCGTTGCTATCAAATTATGTTGTATTCTGACACTTAAACAACTCTGTCATTACATGTATCCAAAAGTATAATACTATACATTCAAATTTGGAGCACTTATTTCTTTGTTTTTTAATTTTCATTGTTAAACCTTTGACACTATCCTACCGCTTTTAACAATTATTCTCAAACAGTTCGAAAAATATTCAAAAAACATAGACAATGCAGTTCCGCATTTGTACAGAAAAGCATGAATCTCTCGAATATTAGTGATATTAAAACTGATTGTAATCATTTAGAAAAGATGAGTACGTGTACATGTAGGTGTTCATCAGTCTAAACATTTTAAAGTGAAGAGACTTTTGATTCATTAAAAAAGAGCGTACGTTTACTTTTATCGCTCGGCTGATTTTTTTTTATTTTATGTTGAAAACAAAAATGAAAAAAAAGAACAACGACACGCGGTATTCCCAAGCGGTCACCCATCCAAGTACTAACCGCGCCCGACGTTGCTTAACTTCGGTGATCGGACGAGAACCGGTGTTTTCAACGTGGTGTGGCCGTTGCTATTAAATTATGTTGTATTCTGACATTTAAACAACTCTATCATTAGGTTAGTGGTTGGAAGTAATTCATTACTGTAATTCAATTCCTTTTCGAGTAATGAGTAATTGTAATAAATTACATTTTTTGAGTAATTCAGTCACATTTACAATTACTTTTAACCCAAATACTCAAAAATTTTGTTTTGTTTTTCTCTACGAATCGTTTATCTGACCTGCTGGGATAATTATACCTGGTTCGTTCCCACAAGGAGAAAATTAACCCAGTAGGGAGTCAAAATTTAAAACGAGTTTAGCACAGAATTTCTTAAGAAAGCAGGTAACCATAATATACATAAGCTCTTCATCATTTTAAGGGTGAGCTAAAGCATATTAGCATAGGGAAATACATATAAACTTTTACCCAAGTTTTTGCCAAAAGTATACGTCCGATTGTAATAAACTTCATACCGTTGAAATGAGCGTAAAAGACCCTATCCAGACTGTTTTTCGGTTTTTTAAATTTTGTTGTCAAAAAAAAAAACTACAACGCGTTAAAATTGTGATGACTATGAGATTATCTGGTTTTCGCTATTTATGGATCAATTTCAAATTTTCAAAAAGGTACATTGGTGGAAATTGTATTAAAAAATCCATTGCGCTTTATAGGAATAAAATATCTTAATAAATAATTGAGTAAACAGGGGCAGAATATTTAAAATTTGTGGTCAAACAAACTTTAGCCATTTTTCTGGTCCACTCAAATCTATAACAGGTAACCGATAGAGCCCGTGCTTTTAAACCCCTCAATCCGACAATAAAATTTTATGAGGGTGTCCATCCTCTAAGGTTTTCTAAATTGAATCTGTAATTCACAAGGTCAAGTCAGAGGCAATTAAAGACAGACTTTTAAGTTTACATCATCTTGTAACCCCCTTCCAAGTATTTAGGAACATCCTTTTTATTAAGAATTAAAAGATTTGTGTCTGCAGGTAATTATCGGTGGACCAAATTTACGAGACATTTACACGTAGCCAATAAGATATTTTGAAATCTCCCACCAATGTAAATTTTTGTTTAAAAGTAGTTGCAGCTGGCATCGCACTTTTATTTGTACCTAGAGTGGAATGAAATTAGGCGCAAAAGAATCGGCTCTTCAATTTTTGGTAAAATATCTAACATGTTTCCCCGCAACAATTCCATCTAGCGCCGCAGTGCAAAGGATGTTTTGGTGTGGATAATTTTAAGACAAAACGTCATGCCTCAGCTGACGATAATTTTGAATGTCAGTTATTATTGGATTTAAATTATGAATAGGTATAGTCCTCTTGCGTGAAGTATTTATTTGTTTTATTTGATTTACTGATGTGAATATGTAACAAAAGATTACTCCGTGTAGGTGTTTATCAGTCTAAAAATTTTAAAGCGAAGCGACTTTTGCTTTATTATAAAAGAGCGTACGTTTAGTTGTATCGCTCGGCTGATTTTTAAAAAAATTTATGTTGAAAACAAAAATGAAAAAAAAAGGACAACGACACGCGGTATTCCCAAGCGGTCACCCATCCAAGTACTAACCGCGCCCGACGTTGCTTAACTTCGGTGATCGGACGAGAACCGGTGTTTTCAACGTGGTGTGGCCGTTGCTATCAAATTATGTTGTATTCTGACAGTCAAACAACTTTGCCATTACATGTATGGAATAGTATATATTACATACCGAGGCGGAAAGTATTCCATTCCTGTCGAGAGAATTATAGTTTACCGAGAGGCGCAGCCTCGAGGTGAACTAGTTCTCGAAACACAGGAATTGTACTTTTGCCGAGGTTTGTATACTATTTTATTCACAATCGTTTTAAGTAGATTTATCCCTCAAATTGCTAATAAAATTCAACTTTTAACACTGACAAATGTCAAACTCAGGGTAATGGCTGGTGATAATAATGTGAAATAAAATGAGGGCACCAATCAAAAAGTAGCAAAGTCTTGACCACAAGGTCTCCTTACATTTACAATCGCTGATTTCCATCTACCATTAACTGCACATGCGTAACGTTTTAGGGTTGAAAGTGACATTCCTTCCATCTCTTGGGTGGAAAGTGACAGTTACTTCCATCTCTTGGGTGGAAAGTGACAGTTACTTCCATCTCTTGGGTGGAAAGTGACAGATAAGTGACATATGTCACTTTCCACCCTTGAGATTGAAGTGAAATATGTAATAACTCACTTCCAAACTTTTAAAAAGTTTGAAAGTTTCACATTACTGACCGATTGTGAATAAAAGTATAATACTATGCAATCAAATTTGGAGCACTTATTTCTTTCTTTTTTTTTCATCGTTGAACTTTTACCGATTTTAATTATCAAACAGAACGAAAAACATTGAAAGAACCCACAGGAGGTTGTTCCATATAGGTACAGAAAAGCATGAATTTCTTGAAAATTATTGTTAAAACCGATTGTAATCTGTCGGAAAAGATTACCACGTGTAGGTGTTCATCAGTCTAAAAATTTTAAAACCAAGCGACTTTTGATTCATTATAAAAGTGCGTATGTTTAATATTATCGCTCGGGTGATTTTTAAAAAATTATGTTGAAAAAAAAATTAAAAAAAAGAACAACGACACGCGGTATTCCCAAGCGGTCACCCATCCAAGTACTAACCGCGCCCGACGTTGCTTAACTTCGGTGATCGGACGAGAACCGGTGTTTTCAACGTGGTATGGCCGTTGCTACCAAATTAAATTGTATTCTGACACTTAAACAACTCTGGCATTACATGTATGAGTTCAGTGCATGTATGCAAACGTATCAGACTATGCAATCAAATTTGGCGCACTTATTTCTTTCTTTTGTAACTTTCATCGTTGAACTTTTAACGATTTCAACACTTATCAAAAAGATCGAAAAATATTGAAAGAACCCACAAGAAGTTATTCCATATAGATACAGAAAAGCATGAATTTCTCGAATATTATTGTTATTAAAACTGATTGTAATCGGTCAGAAAAGATCTACGTGTAGGTGTTCATCAGTTTAAAAATTTTAAAGCAAAGCGACTTTTGATTTATTATAAAAGAGTGTCCGTTTAGTTTTCTCGTTTGGCCGATTAAAAAAAAATTGTTGCAAAAAAATGAAAAAAAAAGAACAACGACACGTGGTGTTCCCAAGCGGTCACCCATCCAAGTACTAACCACGCCCGACGTTGCTTAACTTCGGTGATCGGACGAGAACCGGTATTTTCAACGTGGTATGGCCGTTGCTATCAATTTATGTTGTATTCTCACATTTAAACAACTTTGTCATTGCAATCAGACAAAAGAATCTGCCATCTTAATTCTATCACATTTTTTCTTTTTGTTCTTATAACGTCCGTAAAGTGAGATATGATTTATGATCTGTTAATAATCACCAACTGAATATAACAATTAATTCATTGTTTTATCAATATACTCCACGGCTATTATTACATTTATTCCAGATACAGAACTAAAAGCGAAACAAATCTATCTAGAACTGAAGGCGCTCTTTCACAATATTTCACTGAATAGTAGAAGAGTAGCAAAAATACTTTTTGTTAATTATTGCATTTCATTAAAGTAAATAGTCAAACTGTTTAAAATCTTACCATTTACATATTTCACACCATCTAAAGCAAATGACAAGTGAGTTCCTCTTTTGCTGAACACATGTTGGGGTTCTGGTAGTTGTGGCAAAACATATCCTGGAGCAGCAGCTAACAAAACTAGACGTCTTCTAGTCTGAGGAACGCCGTAATGACCCGCTTGCAAAACACCAAAGGTAACCTGGTAACCAATAGCTAGGAGACATCTTAGTGCCAGTTTTAATACCATGGATCTTTTAAATGATACAAAATTTCTTACATTTTCTAACACGAATATCTTTGGCCTAAAAAAATCTAAATGGTCATACTAATAAATTTTAAGTGTGGTCTTTAACCTGTAATAATCACAGAAACTTAGAAACGTAACGACTAGAGAATTCTTAAATAATGAATACTGTCCGGCATTGAATCTGTTCATTCCTGAAAATCCCTGACACGGAGGTCCTCCAACCAACAATTCCACTTCACCTTTGGCCGGCAAACCTTTCAATCGTTCCTCCCCAGACATAACTTGCTGTAGAACATTATTACAATCGTCAGTAAATACATGACAATCTTTATTATTTAGTTTAAAAGCTTGTGCTGCTGCTATTTCCTTTTCAATCTATAAGAAAATAAAGTTAATCCGATACCGAAATACTAAACACAAGATCTTACAGCCCACTTAGTTTCAGCTATTCCAGCTTGATGGAGACCGTTTGACAGACCACCACATCCAGCAAAAACATCCATACAACGTAAAGGATCTTCAATTTTATCCCACACCGGAGCCTGCTCCAGAGATACTTTAGACGACTTGCTTTTCCCTTTGCCTAATGAAAACATATTTTCAATAAAATAATTTTTGAAAATGGAATGTTGACAAACCTTTGCCTTTTCCTACGTAACCGATTTTTTTGGCAATACTAGGAACTTCTTCAAATTTATATGTTTTCAGATTGTATGATTCTCTAAAATAAAAACGGTAGGGTCCTTCATCGCACCAATCTGCTGGTGCTGAGTCAATTACGTCATAGTACATTAGGTAACACTTGGCAACTACTTCTTTGAAAGAAACGGTTAATACTAGAACAACGAGTTAACTTGTTAACTTATTTTAAATAGCATCGCACACATTAAAACATTTTGGTCATACAAAAAAAAATCTGTGTATTACTTGATGACCTCTCAAGATACCTCAAACATCCCTAATTCTAATTTTATAATTTTTCAAAGAAGCGGGCTTTGTTAAACTTGTAGTTCAGGCGCAAGCTTATCCGTCATTTTTTGGTCACCAACAATTTGTTTATAACAAATATATACACAGTTATATTTATTGTTTGCTACTTTACGATGTTGTGTAATCTAATAATATTTGACTGACATATACATACCTTCATCGGTCCAATATACAAGATTTACGTCCGTTTGGTAAGCCAAAAACATACCACTTTTTGTATTTTCAGCTCTGAAAAATATTCTCACTTTAATATTTATATCATTGTTTTTATTCCGTATTTCTTCAATTTGTCCAATGCAGAAGGGTTCTGGAGTATCTTGATTTGAATATTTCATATCTCCAGTTTTCCTATAGTTTTCAGTGTACACTGACTCGTCAACACTCTTTACCTAGAATTAAACAATGAAATGTTTAACATGCTACCACTCCATTTTTTTACTGTTTTTATTATGTAAACAAAGCTTTATGTTATTCTATTCAAACTTAACTCAAAATCAAACTCGTGAACATAAAATTAATAAAAAAGCTAATTTTAAATTTTAATTAAATTTTACTACACGTTTGTGTGTTTCTTTTGATCCAACAACTGCCATAATATACTTACGCTATCACTACTTGTTTCATATGAGTAAGATGAAAAGTTATACACAGACGGATTAAGGAAAACGGAGGTTCCGACACGAAAAGTTTGTTCGCGCCATGTGACCACTTCATCTTGAAATACTGGTGTTTCAAATTTCTTTTTCTTATCTTCCAAACTAAAAGTTACATGAAAATACGATTATTTAAAAAAAGTTTATTTACAAACCGGCAATTACTGCATGAGTCTATGCTTTCTTTATGATTTATTTCAACATAGTCAGTAAATGTGGCTGTTGGAACACTGTACTGTTTTGAAAAGTGGAATGTATGCCCATCATCTTCATAGTGTGCTAATGTGTCCGTACCGCCTAAATTAAACCAGTCTTTTGGAGTCTCTTTAAAAACAACCTAAGATCAAAAGTACTAGAATAAATTTTACAACAACTGAGACCACAGTTTGATTGTTTTAGTAGAGAAATCGACGAAATTTTAAAAGGTATAACTTGACTTTGTAACTAAAATCCCATTTTTTTTTAAATCGATTTTTTTGCTGTTTTGATTGTTACACTGTTTTAATTTACTATATAAATAAATAAAGCACCTATATTAAACTGTTTCAGAAAATTAAGACAAACTTTTTTTTAAACAAAGATCTCTGATAAAAGGAAAAAGAATAGCATGGACTGATTTAATATTTCAAGTCGTTAGGTTAATTAAACACAACAACCAAACATGGGAACACCATGTATCATGAAAAAAAAATACCTCAGCTTTTCTCACGACACTTCCAAGTGGACAATCATCACAAACATTTACTACAAACAATTCTTGTGGATCTGCTGTTTCACCCAAAATTGTATCACTTCCTCTATAGAACATACGGGCATGAACTGTAGGACCTTGTGGGAATTTGTTATACATGTACTCCACTTTAGCAATACATAATGGTTCATTCGGATTTTCAGGATTTAACATTACATAGTCTCCTACTTGAATGTCAATTTCACCTGAATAAAAAAAAATACATTAATCCAATTAAAATGAATATTTCTGTACCTAAGAGCGCAAAGTGCATAACTCCATTTTTACATAAAATTGGATAAACAGGTATTTTTTGCTAAAAAATGTTGAAGCTTTTTTGTCTAATTCAGGTATTTAGAGTTTTTTATTTGTTATATTCAATATTTTGTATTATATATTTAGAATAAGCTAATAATTTGTCTGGTATGTAAAACGAGCCACAAATAATTGCTCTCACTGAAAACTGACAATTTGGAGTTACGCACTTTGCGCTCGCAGGTACAGATTTAAGTAATCCAAAAACTAATATATGTTACTTAGTTTTTTGATGAGGACTATAATTGCGCATCATGTAATTTTATTTATTTTCACATCAACTGAACAGGGCAGACGATTAGAAAATAAAGTACGTTATTTTGTACAAATCTAAATATGTAGTATAAAAAAAAACGGAGATAATATCTAATGATTTCAAAATATATATCCTTACGAAACAATAGAAAAAGACGCATGGAATTCTACAAATTTTGGAATTATCCTTTTTTAAGTAAAAAATATAAGTTCCTTCTAATTTTTACACTTTCTAGAAGGTGAAAATAATTTAAAAAAATGTGTTATTGTTTCAACGAGAGAAAACAATATTAATCTTTATAAACTGTAAATTGTAAAAGTGCTTTAGTGGCAAAACAATTTGATATAAAAAATATCCTGTGTTGTAATTTTCTTTAATTCTATTTTTGTTCTATTAAAGCGAAGTTTAATTTAGTATCAAAAATTTTTAGCCGTGAATATTTGAAAAAAAAAAAAAATTTTTACATCAGTTCTTTCATTACATCGCTAATCAGCACCACAGAGATTTTTTTTATTTTAATCTGATGTACCTCGCATATTTACAATTTCTAAGAACATAATAGTGAGAAATGATAGGTGCATTTATGCAACAAATAAATTATGTACAGACTGTTCCCTTTTCTATTACTTTTTGGAAAAAACTATTGTTACTAAAATAAAACAATCTTACCAACAACAGCTCTATTATAAAACTGTCTTCCTTTAGATTCTAAAATTGGTTTTCCACACCATTTAACTTTATTAACACTCAGTCTAGCAGAGACAGTTTTCTTCTTGACAGGTTCTTTCTCCTCTTCTACTTCATCTTCATTTTCTGATAACTCAGCATCTTCTACAGCCATGTTAGGGCATCTTCGAAGTTTACATGCCTGTTTACCCCTTCCAGTTCCTCCAAATTTTACCATATCTTTACAGTTTGTACATTTACCACAATCTGGTGCTTGACAAGCATCACACACACCACATCTTCTTTTCTTGGGTCCCTTTTTATCTTTAATTTCTATTTGGTCAGGGAAAAAGTTTTCAAATATAGATCTGACCAAAGCAGTTGTGGTGGCTTTTGTGAAAGTAGTTGTCTTTGAAAGTCCTCTCTACAAAATTGGCAATAAAGTTTGAATGTTACCATATCAATTATTTCTTGACTGTACCTCATTCTGGCGTAATTTTTTGCGCTTTCGAAATGTAACTCCAGCTAAGTTTACTAGAGTTCTTACACATGGTGTGGTTATTAAGCATAAACTATCATCTTCTCCCCCTGCTTGATCATAGCTATAAATCTAGCAAAAGCAATTAACACTTAAATTATTTCAAATTACTGTAATGTGTTTCAAATTGATGTTCAGTTTACCTGATCACAAATAAATTGAGCATGTTGCAAAAGGAAATCTTCAGTTAACTCACAATTACCACTGGTTTCTACTTCTGTCAACAAATCTTCATAAGTAGGATCTTCAGTGCAATGATTGAGAAGAAATTCCATTATTAATTTCACTAATGCAATTTTTTGTTTCAGAAGTTTAACAAATGGGGCATATTCTTCTGATGGTTCCATCAAAATATATGATGCATAAGCAGTTGAAATACCTACTAGTGCCACTTCACCACCATCAAAACCACTTATGTACCATTCATTAATCGGTCCCATGTCATGTGTTGGTATACCATTATTTGAAGAGGAGTCTTCATCATATATTGGTTTAATGTAACCAGAAACATGCAACAGTACATTTTTTTCAACCAAACCTGTATCAAAGGGGCACAAATGTCCTTTATCATCATAAACACTAAAGTGAGTGATCTGAAATAAAACAAAACAATAAAACATTGTTTCTGTGGTAATTTTATTTAACCTTATGTTGTGGTAACTCATCTCCTTCAGGAATATTTTCTTCTTCACCTGTGAAAAGGGATAATTTTTCATCTGTTAAAGCAACGAATTCTTCACATGATTTATTAAGGTGTCCACTGTAAAGTGTGATGTCCTGCATGTATTGTTTACAAATGTTACATTTTTCAAGCTTCACTACAGAAATGTCTCCAGTATTTTTAAGTTTCTGTTTCTTTGGTTTATTTAAATTGGAGTCTGAATTTTCTTTTAAAGGCCTACGCATAAACATAAATACAAACAAATTTTAAGCAAATATAACAATAAATACCTTTTTCTTGTTTTCATTTTTTTATATTTTAAAAGGGCAGGTTACCATTTAAACAAAAGTGAAACATAAAATTGAATTAACCAATATCAGAAATCGACAATTCAGACTAAATCATGAACACAATATGAACATTTTAAGTCGTGATTAAATGAACACGTTCTGTGATGAACACACTACTTGTACGTGCATACCCGCCAAAATAAAATGAAAACGGGCAAACAAAGGTTAGGACAGTATTCCAACCTAAATCATACTAACACCAAATACCCTAACTAGGCAAAACGCCGACTATTTAATATTATTTATTCGTTTATTTATACACAACAACATTTAATACAACAGAATCATTATTTTCAATATTTTGTAAAGCAGCGTTACTTTTTACAAGCCTAACGTAATGTTCAACGATTTTATCTCTTCAACAAACAAATAAGTAGTGACTTTTGTTCGCTGGGTATTGGTACAGTTTTGACTTTCTTTTGTTTACATATGGCAGGATAAATGTCGAAGTTTACGAAGTTTAAATGAATTTACTTCAAAAATGAATTTCGTATATAGATATGGGCAACATTTGCTGCTGTAAAAAACGGGCTAAAAAGTAAGTACACTATTTCATAAGGGTTGATGTAAAGAAAATAAAACCTGTAATGTTTGTATTCAACTACACAAATGTAACTGTATGAATAACAAATTATTTTTTCCAAAGGAAGATCGTCTTATTATTAGTGGGATTAGACAATGCTGGAAAAACTGTAGCTGCAAAGGGTTTGGCTGGTGAATCAATAGATTCAGTTGTTCCAACAGTAGGATTTTCTGTTGTAAACTTAAGTTTCCTGAATTATATTGTTAAAGTGTTTGATTTAGGAGGAGGTCCAAACATAAGAGGAATTTGGCACAAATACTTTGTGGATGTGTGTGAAGCAAACATATAATAACATGAATCATTTTTTCTAAATATTTGTTTTTAGGCTCACGGTGTAATTTTCGTTGTTGATTCAAGTGATATTTCACGCCTTGATGAAGCAAAGGAAGTTCTTCGAGAACTTCTATCGCATGAAAAAATTTCAAGAAAACCAGTGTTAGTTTTAGCAAATAAACAAGACAATGAAAATGCATTAGATGAAGTAGATATAATTGAAAAACTTGAATTAGAACCAATTGTAAATGGAAATGAGTGCCCTACATTGGTGGAAAGTTGCTCAGCAACGGAATCTTCGGGAAATCTGAAAATTGATCCAGGGATTAAAAAGGGGTATGAATGGTTAATAAACTACATTGTTAGACATTACGAAATTTTAAATAAACGCGTGGAAGAGGATGTGATGCAGCAAGTAACTTTAGAACACCGTTTAAGACTGGAAAGGATTGAGAAAATTAGGGCTTTAAAAGAAGCTGAACAAAAAATGAAACAAGAGGATGAAGATGCAATCGAATCCTATTCTAACTATGAAAGAAAAATGAACGGCCAATTACAAGAACAACAGTCTCAATTAAACATCGAAAATTTACAAAATAATGACAGTGATACGAGTGAAAATTCATCTGATTCTTTTCCCCCTGTTTATCATATTAAAGAGGACATTTTACTCGAGCGACCAAAATCCGCAGTTCAGATTGTTAGACAACAACTAGAACTTAATACACCAAGTAAGAAATCATTTATCTCGCGGGCATCCAATAAGACAGCTCCTTTACATTTGTATGGCATTCACGGGCCACGTTCGGCTTCTGCTGAAAGAAAAATATATGATGTTGACCGGAGAAATTTGAAATCAGCAGGAGATGCACCTTTTAGGATCACCGAATTACCAAATGTGCCTATGTTAAGTGGTGATGAGTTGCACAGTGAAATTTATAGCTTGATGAATTTTGACAACACCAATAAGCTGCAACCATCGAGTGAGGTCGATACAGATAAAAGTAGTTTGCCTTGGTTTCATAAAACCAAAAATGGTGATATCAACGGAATAAGTGTCGTTAATATAGATTTGTAAAACTTTTATCACTATTCTAGTCATAAGTTTTTAGTCTATTTTTATATGCACCAATCCCTAGTTTGTACTTTAATAAGAGATAAAAATTGTATTTATGATGGTTATGAAAATACTTTATAAAGGAAAATAAAATCTGCGTATTTTTACTACGGTTTGAAGTAAACATATACGCTTATTTCAATTAATAAACATCAGTGTTGAATCCTATCAACTTTTGGACTTAAGTAATATACCTAACAGGCAAAGTTGTATGCATTGAAGTAAAAATATTCTAATAAGAAAAAAATATCTAAAACCTGAAATATTGTCAATTTTTGGATCACGTGTGGTGTTTGTTACCCAACAGAAAAGAACACGGACTTACAAATTTTGAAATCGCATGCCATTCAAAATGCGTCTTTAAATCCTAGGACTTATTCTTTAACAAACGCCCAAGTTTCCGTATGCAATTCCTTACACAAAGCTCTCCCTCCCTCAAAAAAAAAAAAACGAGAATATATCTAACAAGAAACCCGTAACTGGTTAATTTTTTGAAAAAACCAACATATACCTACCACAGATTTAAATACATTGCCATAAATATTTTTAGAATATTCGTGTCAAAGAGTTAAGTTAAGAAATATGTTCACTAGTCGTCTGACGAAAGCAAAACCTCCTATATGTCATATTCTTAGAAAAATAAGAGTTAATCGAAATCGAAGATCTTCTCGGTCAGATTTAACAACGGAACGACGTTTGTCAGGTTTAGATTGGGTTGGTTTTGAAAAGAACGAAAAGTTCGGAGTACAAGAGAAAGATACTATCGTAGAGAAGAGATTTACGATACTGGAGGTAACGTCTTTCTGTCAAGGACAGTGTACAGATCACAGTTCGCACTGTGGTTCGCACTGATCAATTACTTCTCGTCTGTACACGTTACTATTCGTGTTGTAAAAATTTTCATGATATACCTAGGGATAGACTAATGTATAATTATCCATACACCAGGTGTCACCCCTCGGTATAATATAATGATTATTGTTTGTGACTGGTAAAGACAAACATTAAAAATAAACTATGTTCAAAGCAAAATTTATTTTTGAATAATTGTTATTACTTTTTTGGCATTAATAACTCATAATAAGGTCTATCATTAATATAAAAGTTATATACACGAACATGATTTTATAAACATTAATTTAAGAAGAAAAATCTTCTCCCTACAAGTAGAACTATCACAAATACAATGGCCCACATAACTACAGTAAATATTTGGTCTCTAAAAACAACATACCTTTATTAAAATTATTAACTTGTAACAGAACACTTACATAGTTCTTGGATTAAGTGAAACTTCTGTTTCCATAAAAACATCTGCAACAGGTTCACTGATATTTTCACAACTTTGGCTCACACCTCGTTGTCTAAGAGTATTTTCTTCATTAATAATTGTTGTCTTGATCTTTCTGTCATCCTTTGGTTTGTTACACATTTCTTTATTTGTAGTGTCATCCTCAGCCTTAAAATTTAAGTAAACCTAACTGTAAAGTATATTTTTCTATTCTATAAATCAATTTGTAAAAAACGTTTAACCATGGGGGGAATCACATATTATTGAATTAATTAACGCCTGTTAATACATTGTGAAACATGTGTTTCGACTGGAATCAAATATTTTTATTGTCGTTGACATACATGCCCGACATTTTTTTTACCGATTTTGGCAAAACTATTCACAGAAAGAAGTTTGTATCAACGTTCTCAGTGTAATACTGTGAAAATTCAGAATAAACTGACACAGGTTAGGGTTATTTCTGATAAAAACAGGCAAGGCATTGTTTCATGGGGAGTGAATGCTCATATTGACAATAGCTCCCACATTCCACAAAGTTTAACACTCAATCTAAATAAGTAAATAACTCAACCCTTATTTCCAATGCTCATTAAAATAGCCATCTATTTAGAAATGTTCAAGAACTTTCACCTTTTCATTTGGGTGTCTTTTTAAGTCAATAATTTTCCATTTAAATTGATATTAAACTAAAGACGCAAAATTAATCTGATATGTTCAACGACACAGATCCAATTTGTAGAGAATTGAAAACTACACAAATACCTTTAAAGCAATTTGCTGGATCAATGAAGCTTCTTCATGTGTTAAATTCAAAGTGGACTTAGATTGTGAGGATAAATTATCGGCTATTTTTCCACAGATTTCACATTCCCATTTTTTTGATTTCTTTGCTAATGCCTGTCTTTCTTCTGGAGTGTAATCTAAAGATCCAATAGTGCCTGCTGCTGGAGTCGGCATAAAGGCAATTAAAGCCAAGAGTGCTGTTCTTATTGACCAGGATGGTTGCCAGCTTTCTGGGTGATGCCCAGATATAGACAAACAAATTTTCTTGTTGACTTCAAATCTACCATTTGGCTACAAAATATGTCATAAGAACTAATTTACAAGCAGTTCTAATACTGACAGTCAATAAAATAATATTTGGTGGTTGCATAGGATACTGAGAAGGTAAAAGAATACGACCGTGGTAAAAGCCACCTTCAAACTCAGTGTTGGGTGGTCCTCGAACAGTAAAATGCCATTCAAATAAATTATCCTCTAGAGGATGAGCGAAATATTCCTCTGTCGGCTCTGCTAACTCACGGGCTTCGCGCATAAGGCGTTTTACGCCTAAAAGTCTCTATATTATACTTTTAATGCAAAAATGATATGATAACGTACCTGGGCTTTTTAGGTTATATTTATTCTCTAATGACATTTTGTTGATTTACCTTTGCACGGGGAAGAAATGCACAAAATACTGGTACTTGAACACAAAAATTAATAAAGCTAAAAGAGAAAAAAAAGATTGTAAATTTGTACTGGAATATTTGGTAAATTGTCGAAGAGAGTTATGTCTGACATGTTTCCGAACGAAATATTAAATTATTAATGTCAAAAGTCAGCTGATGTTGACCGGTGCAATTGGTTGTACTCCGTGTTCGAGTGATTTTTTTATCAGTGTAAATCGAATTTACGACGACTACAATGTGGCGAAACAGGATTGGTGGCTACCGTTAATTGTCTTACATTTTTTTTCCGTAAAACAAATAAGAAAACTAGAGAAAACTAAGGTTATATTGGGAGATGGTTAACTGGAAGGAATTTTGTGAAATATATTAAACCGGTGAAAATACACATTCAAGATTCAAGAATATTGTCAAAAATGATTATTTATTCGCATTACCATATAGTCCGTTCCATTTCGAGTTGGGAGCGTAGAAAACCCTTTAGCAATGCATTGGAAATTCATTAAACGAGTTTTTTTATTACTAAAAATGTTGAAATTGATCGATGCCATTGTTCCATAATAGTTGTAAGTTGTAATAGTTAATAATCTGAAATTATTTTTGAAAAACGAAGATAATCAGTAAGCCTTTCCCTCCAATTCAGTATTTTTGAAATCAAGCCGTGCCTCGAACACGTTTTTTATATTGTCATGTCCTGAATTTAAAATTTAAATTGCGCGCAAAGAGAAAAAAGAATCAGTTTGTAATTTCATAAACGGCAATTGTTAAACGAAAATGAATCGCATTCGATTCCACGGTCTCCCACCAACGAGCATAATTTATTGTAAAAATGATTTTTTATTCTAAAATGTGTGTGAAATTTTGAATTCGTCAACACGTTATTTTTGTTTCATTGTTTGTAAATTCACAGGTCATGTTAAAGTTCTTAACTGTTCATGGTTCTGGTAGAACGAACTACAATCACGTAAATGTTGATTTGAGTGGTTTAACCCTTTTTAACAATGATGCCTACAGTTCTGCATGATTTATCTAAGTTATTAGTGTTATTAATTACATTGTCCACGCTTCATAACTTCTCACACGAGATTTAAAATAGTTCATTTATGAAATTTAAACTAATCTGAAACGTTGATCCATTTTGAGAGTAAGGACCTTGAGAATTTCCATATATCGTGGGCCTGAAATGGGGGTGTACTTTGTTTATTTTGTATTATATTAATGTGTTATTTTTTACATTTAAATGATTATTATCTCGCACCTTGAATTTGAACATTTATTCTCGTGTTATTATTTTGATTTTGACCGCATTTAATATGTAATGTAATACTAGTAACTAGACAGCGGATTTCTGTCGGGCTACGTCACGATTATAGGTGGGGACGCGCTGCATCGCCGGGACTCAGTAGCGGGTGATAGGTAATCACTGAATTTAATTGTCACTTGATTCCATAAATACAATTAACGATTTATTAATCAAACGGCTAAGTAAATGAGAACTGGAATTAACAGCAGAGTGCAACGAAGCAGCGTTATTCTAATCTCAAATAAACGAAGTGCAGCCGGTAACTGCAATGAATTCCCATCCCGTACGAGCCGTACCGAGTTTGGCCTTGTCTAGCCCGACAGAAATCCGCTCTCTACTAATAACAATAACTCAAACATTTCGGCAAAATTAAGACATGCGCACAAAATTCGAAAACTCGCGAAAATTTTAAAACTTGGCCACGAACTGTGATCGTCTACAAAATGGAACTCTACATTGTATTTTTAAAATAACGGAATGCATTCTGTCACAATTAGCGCACAGCGGAGCGATAATATACTATGTTATATGATATTAAAGCAATGTCTGCAAAACTGTCATGAATTATTTTATCTTATAGTTATATAGTATACAAAATAAATAATATTTAGGATAAATGCCAAAACTAAATATATGTCAGATTCAAAAATTATAGAAAACAAGTATACAGTGGTCTTGTGCACAGTTCGCTTTGAATGTGCGTTTTTAGAATAAAAATATCAAAATCGAGGTGGTAAAACATGAGGCATGGTGTAACGAAGTGAATTTTCGCCGGAAACCAAGTCTTCGGATGGAAGAGAAGTGTTTCGCCCCTGGGCTGTGGCTGTTTTGAAAACTTCCTTTCGTGTTGAACCCCAAGATCAGACCGACCACCATAATATAGTTTTGGGTTTTCTGCCTGTTTCGAACCGTTTTTGAATCGCCACCTCCGAGCCAAAGGTCGTACCGCCGTCACCGTTTTTTTTTTTCTGTTAACCGCAAGAAACCGAAACCATCGTTTTCCGCCGCCGCGCTCCCCTCCCGTGTCGCCGTACCGTCCCCACGCGATTTCTCGATTTTCAGGACCAGGAGGAGCCCGTCCCGAAGGAAGCCGCCGTCCAGGAGGAAACGACCGTACCGAACATTTTGTTCTTTGTTTTTGGTTTGTTAAACCGACTTCTAATTTTATATTTAAGATTAGCCGTAAGATTATTTTAGCCGTGTAGCTGGTGACAGGGAATATAAACCCGATTATTGTTACAAAAATTCCACCATCTTATTTCTTGTCTCTGCGGGCGCTCACCAGACCACCTGGAGATCCGTGTCTCCGGCTTTAGAGCCACCCCGATCCTCCCTTCTCGGGCGCCCGAGCACCACCGCTCCCAACTTAAGGCACCTGGTGGCATGAAGGTGGCTCTAGTCGGCCCAGGGCTTGGCACTGAGGTACGCCACCCAGAGTTTCATTGCAATACCATAAAATAAGAATATCTAGATCTGTGATATTTATTTGACCGATAACACAGTAGAAGAGTGTTCTTGTTACATATATTTTCTCAACATGGTCGGAAAGGTAATTTTGTGCTGAACAACTCTTAAAAGAGTTAATATACCCATGTCGTCAAAAAAAAATATATTAAAATTTTTATGTTCGTCCGGTGAACAATTAGAAAAAATGAAGTGAATTCTAATTTTACATAGAAAAACGCGCAAGAAGCACTAAAAAAATGTTCCACAGATTTCTGTCCACAGATATTTAATTACGTCTACGAATATTTAAGCGGTCTAGAATATGTACATAGAAGGATCTAACTCTTTATAAAAGCCTCATGTATTCGGAAAGAATGAATACTTGGGTCTTTAACTTAAATCTTTCTTCGACTTTCTTGATTTCTCGATGAAAAGATTATCAGCAAAGAAATTTAAATACGACATAATTTGTGGAACGATTGTTTCCTAAAAATTCACTGATCACTAAGCTAATTGATTCCCAAGTAAATTTTTCCGTATCATTCAAATAGGCGTAGAACATTTGATCCTTCATTCGAATTTCAAGCCCAATGAAAATTCCTAAATATAGAAAACGTACATGATATGAAAACTGAAATTCACTGTAATCTTTTAGTTTTTACCTTGGTTTATGTTAGCAGCAGAAAGCTTAGGAAATATTGTTTTCAGATGTTGAAATGCTTTCTCTCTTGTATTTCACTTGCATAAGAAGCACATACATATAATTGGTATATCCAGATTGGAAGCCAGTTACTAAAGCTACAATTTTTAAATCGCCTATCAAATTGCACTCAATTTTTTTATCGTTAATACAGTTTAACAAGTGTTGAATATTCTCATTATGTTTCTGCAGTTTGTATGGAGTATGTAGTCGGCAGTACTAGATGTTTATTCCTATTATGCAATATTACACCTTTTTAATAATACTAATAATAATAGTAATAGCATTTATTGCCAAACAGTATACACCATTTATAGGACAACATATTGTATAATACCTACATAGTATAATGCAATTAACAAAATAAGAATTAATTAATTATATAATTGTGAAACAACTTAATTATGAGTGAAACACAAACATACAAAAGAATCCACAGTTTATGTGCAATATGAACTTTAACTGGAACTATCTATGAACAATCTCCAAAAAAAAAATGTTTTGACGACCTAGGCATAATGTCTTATTAGATAGTTATTCAGCACATAATAACCTTTCAGAATACATTTTCAGAATGCTTGTAACAAGAATTTTTTCTAAAATTGTTCTACTGTGTAATTATTTACGTCAACCGATATTTCTGTACTGACTAATGCAAAACGTGTTGGGAGCGTATTTTTTAGACTAACACCGGTTGTGGTTAGGATTTTGCCACACCAAACGGCCTTTCAAGGTGGTTCGCCTCCGGCTACATAAGGGAGGGAAGATACGGGTTAAAGTAGAGCTCACACCTCAAAGAAACATGCATTCAAATGAAAAATTGTAATAAATATAGTCAGTCAGATACTATACAAGGTTTTATGGGCCACTAAGCTTAAGAATGGGATCTCATAATTCCTTCTGTGCGGCTGGTTACCGGCTCAAGCCTAGCGTCATAAATCAAGGATTTGTCTGAATCTCTTGCCACGCTGAACAGATCCGGCTTCAGCTATATTCTGTATTTATATCTACATTTTATTTTCAAATTTTATTATTAATACTGCTATACTACTATACTTTTTTTGTAATCTATAATAGAAAATAGCTCACTTATGTATCTAAAATATATTATGCACCAGGCCTTCATGTATTTTTTAAAAAAACATCAACCATTTTTCCAGCACAGTTAAGGTTTTATTTATTTATAAAAGGAACATATGTCCAAATAATCGAGTATTTTGGACGAGTAACACATTCTCTTGCAAATTCTCTTGAACCCGCCTCTGGAATGGATGACGGACGAGAGCAGGTACAGTCGAGAAGATTTACAATTGCGGTTTGCCTCATTAACTATTCCATTGTCGGCCTCACCATACCCTAATTTTACAACAGTCATATAACCTCATAGTATCTGACTAACTATACATACCTCTCCAATTCACCCACAAGCCAAGCGTTTACCACCCCCCAAAACGTCGCTGGTCCTCTCGAGCGAAGCAAAGAAATACCCTCAGTTGCACGAACGAAGCGCAGCATTGTTTGCGGCTCAAGCAGTAGGGGAATCACATGAATACAGAAACACAGTTAAAGAAGACTGAAACAATTCACAACAGAAGAAAGACAAATGGCTCTTTTCGATTCTCGCCCTAGAGGCAACGCTGCCCCGCATCGAAAAGGTCAGGCGTTCGATGTCCGATTTATCCCTTTTTTCCTTACACCGTGACTGGCAATCCATACATATGTCTACTTTAAATTATAAGGGTTGTTTTAATTTTATAATTTTTTAAACAAGGTG